TAGCGCTTGTGGCTCGATACATACTCGAGTACAGCGAAACGAAACGATAGCCTTTACGGCACAGTACAGTACTCGGGGGGTGTATTAAAAACCGGAAAGGGGGGTATCCCTGCTCCAGAAGCTGAGCAACCAAGACTCACGCAAACTTGGAAAATGGGAACAAGGATTAGTTTGTGATAAACCGGTAGGAAAGAAGAAGCAAATATAAAACCTATGACGAGGAGTAGAGTAAGTGACCTGTCCATGTGACCAGAGAGTAGGGTAGATAGAGTTTCTCTAAGCTATATTTTCGGATTCTGGGTAATGCTCACATGTATCATCATCATCGTGACCATTCTCAAGTACTAGAACCTCCCAGAAATCCAGAAATAATTAGGAAGTATCTAAATTATTCCATCATACATATACAAAATAGTTAAAGATCCACAAAGAGAGTTTTCTAGCTTGTCATCAGGACTTGAGTACTAGTATGGACTTTGCGATTTAGTATTCAGAGTCAAATCCTAGCACTCTGGTTGGTCTGTAACCACATTTGACTCGCATCCAGAGTCTTTTCGCAAAGTCTCTAGTATATCTAGAGGGAGTCAAGTAAAGAATAAATTGTCGTATTTTTAAACCTATGAGTTAGCAAGGTCAATCAAATCTCTCTCTCTTTATGTCATATATTCTATCGCATACTAGGCCTGTTTTTATTGAGAACCTCAACTTAGAGAAAGCCATACTAGGTGAGACTCTCTGATCGAGCACACCAGATACCTCCCCTTCAGGCATGGCTGATAATCCCTTACCCAGCATGCCCAATATCCCTCCACCCAGCATGCCCGATAACTCTCCACCCAGCATATCAGATAGTATCCAGCCGACTCAACTGGAAAATCCTCCTATTACCTTGCCCGAAGGACCTCCCACCCAGAGAATCGATAATCCAGCTACCAGCATATTCGAAAATTCTCCCCCAAGTCCAGCACCCATAACCACACCCAATACTCCCATCCTTGCCCTCCAAATTCATTTGGCAACAGATCACGAGGTCAAAAAAGGTAATCCGAACCCTGAGACACTATGCACAGTGGAACTACCCACAGTTAAAGGAGGCTTTCGGAATCCCTTTAGGCACTTTGCATCGTATAGTTCACAGTAGTAGTGCAAGTGCTAACAAGCTGCCAGTGGGATGATCCTGGGGGAGAAGAGGAAGACTTACTATAAATCCAGAGATTCAGCAGCGCCTAATTGACACTGCGACAGCCAGTGCTCAAAACCGCTGCCTCCTATATACTAATATCGCTGAACTTGTGGGCATTCAACTAGGTGAGACGACGCTAAAAAAATTCTTCAAGAATGCTGGCTACCATCGAAGAGTGGCTCGTACAAAGCCATTTCTCTCAGTAAAAGCCAAGGAGAAAAGAATGGCTTGGGGTAAACGATTTCAGGATTGGGAGGTAGATGATTAGGCAGATATTGTCTGGTCTGACGAGTGTGCTTTCTCAGTAGGTGATGTGTGTGGGACGACCTGGGTCACCCGCTGCCCCAAGTAAGAGTATCATGAAGATTGTCTTACCCCTCATTTCCCCCGGCTGACTACGATCATGGTATGGGGGGCAATCTACCGAGACAAGAAAGGGCCACTCGTAGTTTAGGATACTGCTAACTGGGGGTGTATTAATGGTGCTACATATATCGAGCATATTATACGCCCCTACTTGTTTCCCTGGTGGCAGACTCTATACCAAGCTGGAGAGACGAACTCAGGATATATATACTTGCAGCAGGACAATACTTCTGCATATCGTGCCCGCTATACCCTCTAACATTTCGATGAACTCGGTCTTAGAAACTATCTCTTTCCTTGTCCTGCCTCTTTACTGGATATGAGCCAAATCGAGGCTATTTAGTGCTTATTAAAGCGCTGTATCTCCCGTCGCTCTCCACATCCCACCACCGTTCCTGACCTTAAAGCTGCCATTTTCGCCGAATGGGAAAACATTACTTCAGCAGAAATTGCGCAGCATACTACCTACCTCCCAGATCGGGTATCTGATCTTTTGGCCGCCAATGGCGGTCATACATCTTGGTAACGTAGGGAACCATCCTAACAATCGCTGTACTCGAGAGTCATATGAAATTGGAAAACATAATCGTTGCCTCTATAGAGGATTGTATGAGATCAGAGAATATCATAGTTTTCCAGTTTTCAATATTCTCCTGGGTACTCCATAACTACATAAATAGTCTACATATACTAACTGTTCTATAGTTCATTTTCTTTCTTTAGGCTCCCTTAGCCTAACTCTGCCGCAATACCTCTTTTTTTCTCTTTTTATCTTCACCCCCATTCACCGACTATTTTGTTCTCCTATGTTATCCCCCTCCCCTCCGCCCTCCGCCCTCCTGCTCTCCTGTACTGTGCCCCTCTTACGCCATTGCATTTCCCCATACCTTCTCCCCTCCCTATCCTATCCATATACCATTCCCATTCACCTCCCCTATTGCCTTTCCCCCGGGCCTTGACCCCCCCTCAAGTACCCACCCTCTCATTTGATTCTTCCCTTTTTCTTCCAATAAACCTCTCACTATGCACACTCACTACCCCATCTGCACTCTGTATGTGATGCCTTACGACTCTTAATTTTGTTCTTAGTAGTAGTATTATTATTTGCTGTCTTTAAGTAGTTGAATTCGTTTTCTGTGATGTCAAAAGTCCGCCATCATCACCGATCACTCAGCGCAACAAGTATTGATCTAAGATGTCTTGTAACACTTCCCCTCTTTCCAGACATTCCGATCGCCCAATCCCGTTGATCCCTGATTCAGCGCGGGTAGTTTCCGGTTTTTGATACACCCCCCGAGTACAGTACTCGTACAATACTGATAGCTTGGGGGAGGACTCCTTGTGACACGACACTTTACTCGAGTAAAGAGCGCCTCACCCTTCACCATCCACGGACTCGATATTTCCCGAAGCCAAACCATAGGCTACGAAAAGAAAAAAACTTTTTGCGGTAAGCCACCACACATTCGGCGTTCATCTAGCCTGCTTCTCAAAAACGCAAAAGCACCTTCCCGAGCGCGGGAGGGTTGTCGAGTGAGACATCTCCGAGCGATAAAGATAATGGCGATAGCAATGGCAGATGAAGGGGGGGTTTTGGTTCGTCCCACCTCGGTTCAGTCTACCCCGGAATACTCTCTACCGGTACGAAGTACCATCCCCGTTTAAATCGACCACGTTGTAACATGAGTTCGCGCCAAAGTGGTAGAGCCATTACCACATCTAGCGATTGTGAAGAAAGAAAGTCTTGGCTCAAGCTCAGAAAAGTCGGGCAGGCAAAACTCCCCAACCGATCGATAGTAATCAATCCATCTCACGCGAGCGCTAGAGAACCTATCATATCGCAGCACACCAAAAAGAAACACAAGCAGTAGGAGTGGTCGCCGGAGTAACCACGCCGCAGCCGGTTACAAGAATATCTCCGAATGCGGTAAGTCAGACGGTTGACCATTCTGCTTTTAACGCGAGTAGAACAAACCCGCTCGCTAGGCACTGTATTGAAAGATAAGGCCCAGCTGAAGTGACCACTCCAACTCGATCAAATCGTGTCATGGAAAGAGGCTTGGTGAAATCAGATTACCGGTAATCAATCAACTAATATTCGGGTAAGGATTTGGGCGACCGAGCAGTCAGGGATTCTGGAGGCGTGACCGCTCTACCCTCATGGAAAATAAAAGGGTGGATTTGGCATGGAAATTGTTCAAGCAAAGCAAGAAGAAGCTTTGACACCTCTAATCTCTGGATGTCCGGCCACCCACATCCATAACCGAGTGAATCCCCCTGTAAGTGCATTGGGAAAATATCGAATGCTCGGGTACTCATAGACACCGCTTACCGGTAGCTATGCGCGAACATGAGAAAATAACTAATCAAGCATTCCCCCCACGGTTCCTTTACCCAAGAGCGGTTACAGAAATAGAAGTGTGGTCGGTGGTGCTTTCCCGGTTGTCGCTGAACAGGGTTTTGAATGGATGGAAGGATCGGAGTCCGCCGTAAATTAACCTATCGTACCAATGCCCCGGTATTGCCAAGCCGGGGATGTTCTCAGCTGCACTTGTCCTGGTTGCATATGGGCTATGGGGTGGTTGTGAGTCTTGTCTGTGTCGACGTATTACGCGAGTGGGCAGTGGTGGGAGTTTGCGAATAGAGAGGTCTGGAAGAGAAGCCACGAAGAAAGGAAGGGAGAAGAAAAAGTTGAAATATGACCTGTGTGGTCATGACAGCACGTCCCCGAGTCAAGCAGGGGGCCACATTTCTCCGAGCCAGGGACCCATCACTCGGGCTCTTTCGAACATGGTGGTGGTGGATTTCAGCCTTACCCCGCTTACTATAGGCGGTTAGTGCTCGAGCGTATTCCCTACACAAGTATTCACTGGCTTCAGCCCACTTCTCCACCTTCTCGATTCTCCAGTCCAGTCCATCCATCGGCGTTCTACCATAGGAAAAAACAAAAAAACACCATAACGTGGTCGCCGTTGCAATGGGCGAACGGATTATCTTGCTGCTTACAGGGTTGTTGTCTCAGATGTGCGTGTGTGTGGGCGGTGCAGCATTCGAGCATGGTAGCTTATCTTAAGTGGTTTAAGCTTTAACTCACCCCACTCGCCTACTTACGGTACTTGGTCGGCGACCCTTGAGGACAAAATGTGCTAAGCCGCACCAAACGTGACTCTAGCTTATGATATCCTACACGACTGGCCTAGTGTGTGTGTGTGGCTCGTGCTCTCTACTCGCCGAACGGGGATCTACTTGTACTAAGTGCCTGTGGGGGGGGTGGTCGCCGAGCAGGCTTTGGCTTGTTGGTTTTGGGGGAGTAAGCGGGAATATGGAGGTGGTCATAGTTACAGTGGGCGGTAGGGGGAGGAGGAGGGAATAAGGGAAGGATAAAAGATGGGGTCGGCCCCTGCTGAAGTCAAAACAAGAGTACAGTTTTCTGTGGTTTATCCATTCATCCATCGAAGTAAGCTAGTTGCCCGGGATTCCGGCTTTCGGTGATTCATTCACGCTTGACGCCTCTCTTCTATTTTCATTCGAATCGGATAACCCACTACCGGTATACCCTTCTGAAGAAAAGAAGTCACAACAAAAATGAGTGACAACATCGACTTGGAAGCCCTGCCCAAGGGCGGAGGAAAAGAGATTTCCCAGTTCTCTTGGAAGGGGCTCACTGTCACGGTTAAAGACTCAAAGACAAAGGAGGCGTTGGATATTTTGAAGGATGTTGAAGGGTGCGCCCAGCCAGGTATTTCTTCCATTATTCTATCGCGGAGACCTCGCACCCACCTAATCGTCCAACTATCTGTAAGTGTGCTAATTTCTGGTTATGCAACAAATAGGCGACATGGTTGCCCTCATGGGCCCCAGTGGATCCGGGAAGACCACCCTCCTAAATGTCCTTGCAAGAAGACCCGTTGCAGCGAGTGCCTCCGTGAAGGGCCAAGTCCACCTCGACAATGCTCCGCTCCAAGCAAAAGCTCTTCGGGAGATTAGTACTTATGTTGAGCAAGAAGATGCGCTCATCGGTATTCCCTCTTCCCCTTCTTCCCACCTACAGTTCTAACAAAATAACCACACAGGTAGCTTAACTGTCCAAGAAACCATCGAATTTGCCGCCCGCCTCTCGGGAGCCGAACGCCATGCTGGCCGTGTATCGGAGTTGATCAGAGCATTTGGATTGGCGAAGCAAGCGCATACAAAGATCGGTACCCCCGTCGCCAAGGGTATCTCCGGTGGGCAGAAGAGGAGGGTTAGTATCGCTTCGCAGTTGATCACTCGACCGAAGATTTTGTTCTTGGATGAGCCGGTATGTCTTATCTCTATTCTGCTGTTTCCTTTGATGGTATTGATATGCTAATGGGAGATGTATAGACTAGTGGATTAGACTCAAAGGCGGCATACGAAGTCATGTATAGGATTCAGCAGGTCGCTCGGGATGAAAACGTGAATTTCCCTCATTATGTCCTCGGGTATTAAGAAGCATCTAACAACCGGCAAGATGATCGTCATAGCCTCCATCCATCAACCGACTACCGCAACATTCAACCTCTTCTCGCAACTGGTTCTCCTCTCCGCTGGCAAGCTAGTCTACTCCGGCCCGGTGGACCAGGTGGTCCCATATTTCTCCACTCAAGGCGTGCCCATCCCACCACTGACCAACCCGGCAGAATTCCTTCTAGACGTGTGCAACACAGATTTCGACAACAGCGCTACAGATGTTGGCGGGGAGGAAAGCCGGATCGCAAGACTCAATCGGCTAATGGAGGCTTGGTCTCCTAAGAGCTCGGCTACAGAGATTTCTTCCACTCCATTCGCGGACTTTGAGGGGGCGTTGAGTACGTCCGGGGCTCCGACGGGCGTGCCCCGCCAGACGTTAGTGTTGTTACAGAGGCTTTGGTTGAAGAGTTATAGAGATTTGCTGGCTTATTGGATTAGGGTTATTATGTACCTTGGTATGTCCGAGAAAAGTGCCATGTGTTTTTTATGTTTTACTAACGGCGCAAAACAGGCCTAGCATTCATGATGGGCACAGTCTGGCTCCGTCTCGGGCGAGGACAGGATAACATCCAACCCTTCATCAACGCAATATTCTTCTCCGGCGCATTCATGTCGTTCATGGCGGTTGCATACATCCCGGCATACCTCGAAGACCACGAGAGTTTCCGCAAGGAGCGGGCGAACGGGTTGTACGGTCCTACAGCGTTCCTGTTGTCGAATTTTCTGATTGGGATTCCGTTTATTTGTAACCCCCCCTCCACCTTTAATCCACCCTCAAGGGTTTTATTATACTAACGGCCAAGCAGTCCTAATAGCCGTCCTCTTTTCGCTCGTAACAGTCTTCCTCTGCAACTTCCGTCAAACACCCGAGCACTTCTTCCGCTACGTCATGTGGCTATTCCTCGACCTTCTCGCGGCCGAGTCCCTGGTTGTGCTAATCTCTAGCCTCATCCCCGTCTTCGTCGCTGCGCTCGCGATAACCGCCTTCGCGAACGGCCTCTGGATGTCCGTTGGCGGTTTCCTCGTCTCCCCGAAGGTGCTAAACGACTTTTGGTATTACACCTTCTACTGGATCGATTATCAGAGATACGTTTTCCAAGGGATGATGTTTAATGAGTTTGACGGGAGGGTGTATAATTGCGCGAAGGTTGGGGATGAGTGTCAGTGCATGTATCCTAGTGGGTTAGCTGACCAGTGTAATATTGAGGGGCGGGGGGTGTTGACGGCGCTTGGGTATGGGAAGAAGGATATTGGACTTTGGATTGGAGTGTTGATTGCTGTGACTTTTGGGATGAGAGGGTTGGCGTGGATTACTTTGAAGGTCAAGAGAAATTGATTGGTTGGTTTAGGGATGGCCTCCTTGAATTTCTTCCTTTGTCACCGTCTTGGAATTTTTTTTCCCTTTTCTTTATTGAACAGGTTTATAATTGCCCCCCTTTCCTCGAATACCTTTCTTTTTATGATACCAATAATTTATAGGAAATATTCTGCCGTAGTACAATACAAGTACAAATACGAGCATACCTCTATCTGCGACGTAGGCACTTATGGCGGGCCTTATCGGGAATGAGAGTGCGATCCATTGTCGAAGTGTTTTCCAAGAGATGCCAAACGCAGGCCTGCGTGAAACAAACAGGAGCCATATGGTATAACGGTAGCGTCGCTACGAGCCATGGTACTCAGAATCATGGCTCGAGCTTTCCCTTTTCTCATCATAGCTGTAGAGCGGGGAATTGGATTCGGAACATTCGGGGAGGGAACGAGCGACATGTGATGTAGTTCTCAAGCCCAAACGTCGGATATATATACTCGACGTTTGTTTATAAAGTCTCCAGAACGTGAATTACGTGTCCAGCCAAGTTATGTGGGTTCCAAGGGAATTCACTTGGATAATTTAAAATTTTCGGACGCTTGGCACCAATAAAAGTGCCAATAATGTCGAGATGTCCGAATGACCAAGTAGCACGCTGAATCCATTATATATACTCCTCCTGATACCCGGGATTCTACGCGCCGGTCCTCCGAAAACCACGCACCAATCGGAGAGTGCTGGAGGCGGGTACCCACGCGACGACGAGCGCCACGAGTGAACGAACCACTTAAATTCTTTTTCTTCCCCACCCTCCGGAAAGCCTTATGAGAGGTTGATGGAGAAGAGAAACCCGTCCCCCCCTGCTTCGCCTCCTTGTTTGTTTTTCAGTGCGTTCGCCTTTTCTCTGTCAGTCTGGGGTCTGACTTACATTCCCGGGCTTGTTGGGGGCCGGCTGTGAGGGGCCTGACCCAACGAGTAGGTTCGAGCGGGTCCTGCTCACGGAATATCACTCGCACCTAAACAAGATTTCACAGGTTACTATTTCTATAATAGCTTACCCGGTCCCCCATTCTCCCCAGTTCCGTTAGTAGTTTTTCTGGCGATATCTTGTTCCCCCCTAAGGCCCTGTTTATTCTTATTCCCGGCGCTTACGTACTCTCTCACTCGCATCACTAGATGAATTTACAAAATGATTTTCCCCAAAACTCTCCCAATATACCATAGGCACACCAATATTATCTGAATCACTGTATGGTATGGTAGTTTCTATAACCCTTGCGGGTGCTCGCCATAATTCCAGTGCCTCTAGCTATGATCAACACCTTCGTCTGAACTTCTATATGTGCAACAAACGACTCGTAGGCCGGGCTCGGGAGTAAGTGCTACCTTGAAGTGTTCCATCGTACTATGGGCAATTTTATGACGTCCCATTATTGCTCAAACATTTTACGCCAAACACGTGACTTCTGGTAGAGTTATGACGTAAGCGCAAGTGGCTCTATTACTCGTAAATTTCCGGATAAAGCACCTAGCTATGGTAATCACCATATCTGGATTTGAAAGTTATAACTCCAGTTCTAAGTTCCGGGTGAACCCTTGGTACGAGCAAGCTCCGAAAACACGAAGATACTTTTATGGGTTTCGATAAAAGTTCTAAGAAAATTCCTATCCGAGGTCTCCGCAAAGATCCGTTTTTCAACACTTGTCGTTGGAAGTGCCGGTGCAAAACCCTTGCGGCCGAGGTAAATAGATGACTTGTTTTCTGTTAATACTCGGGAGGCCCTGTTCTGAAAATTCGGAAGATTTTAAAGCCCTTTCCAATTTTCTGTGGTCCACCGGCGATGGAACACTAGAGCATGGCCGAGTTCAAGTTTGATACCCCCTATGGGAATGTGCTACCCTAATTGTCCAACTTCAACCTGGCCGCATGGGTGTGCTCTCCAATCTACGCCCAATGTTTGAAGTTAGGGAGAGTCCAGTAAGGTGCTTTTGGAGCTTGTGACCTCCCGTCAGTACCAGCAAGAGGATGATATTTTGCCTCCTATAGAAAATGGGGAAACAAAATATTGGTGGAGAAGCACGAGTAGATCATCGGCTGCTACACCTTCGTGATAACTTCCGTGAATCCGAGCTCGGTGGACATGAATCCCTCATATACTCTTTTTTCACAATTTTGGTTGTGTTGACTGCTACAAGGTGCAGTATCATGCTGTCCGGTAGTCTTGGATAGGGCAACCATCGTGGTGGAGAAACCGTCACTTTTGGCTCACTATTTCAGACTGCCCAAGGGATGACTGGCCACCAAATGGTCACTTGGGACCCAACCACCAAAAACCGACTCATGCATGAAACCTCAATTTGCAAACAGGGAACGCTACATCCTAGATGGGTATACAGGTATTGTCCCCGTGGCCAGGAACATCCAGACATGAGAAAGGAAGACCTAAGAGATCGATAGGGAATTTTACTAAGGATGGAACAGGAGGTATATCTCACTGAAAGGCTAACACCCCCTCCGCCAAAGAGAACTCCACAAACTGTAACTAAGTGTGAAGAGGGTGCTGGGGAATATTATACCTTTGCAGTGGCGGGGGGACGGCGGAGGATAGAGAAGGCTAGCGAAAAATCCACGATCCTGACCCAATAGAAACCACTGTGACAGCTCACCCCGGGTTCGATGCGATGAACTCGGAGAACGAAGAAACAAGATATACCAAACACCCGATGCGTGATTCCCAATGGCACCTGTCAAAAGAGAAACAAAGATAAGATCAGTGATCTGTCCAGAACAAAATCGGATTTGAAACAATCTATAACTGTGCACCTCTGGACCGTATAAATCCGAAATATGTGCCCGGTACGAAATCAAACGGGACCATTTCGCATCGCTTCCCATAGGTTTCCAGGCTCGCACTGCTTTCATCATCCCTTCAGCCCCCAGAGCAGCACACCAGAGTGGTCCATCATCGTCCTTTCTGCGACGTTCGCTCTAGAGCTGGTTTCCAGAATTCTCACAATATCGCCTCCAATGTGCTCCTCATCTCCTCTGGGGTTGTGTCTTTTCTGAGCCTCTCACGCAGGTATCTAAAGATATCACCTTCTGTAGGCACTATCGATTTAAAAATTACTGCTCCACCAAGTTTCCTCTCAATCTCACAGGATATAGGGTCGTCCGGTCGTAAATAGACAAGGATTTGGTGACTACCGCAGAATCCGTCCAAGTGAATCAAGGAGCACCGCTCGATGCCCTGGCACACATTCGTCAAGAGCATCAACACAAGTAAATATGCGGGTTGTGGTTACGATGGTCTGGAACATCCTCAAAATTCCAAGAATCTGTATTCCACAACCCCTAATTTCCTTTTTTGGATTGTGAAACTCCTGAACTATTGCTTCTGGAATCGATTCAAACCTGCTCTCGGGCTGCATCTACTTCAGCAAAGGGCCAAGCATGTCGACCGAGTGCTTCTCCTTCCATGCAGTAAGGTCGAAGTAAAGGTTGGCAATGGCAGCATTTTGCTTCACTGCATCGTCACATAACTTGTCTATGGCTGGTGAGATAACATCGCATGTCGCCCAATATTGTAGTTTCATGCATTAATAAGCAAACCTCTGCAGATTCGCTCCAACAAGCCCTCGACCTCAAGAAAACTGTAATGGCTCACTGGCTCACCAACAATGCTAGCATTGGATAATCTTTTGTCCACATGTAGTGCCGTGCGCTTTTCCTAATTCTGTTGGTTATGCTATGGCAGTAGCACTTCTGCCACGCTCCTGTTGTGCCATCGGGAGGGAACGATAAAGCCGTATCTAAATTTTCGTAGAGCGATCCCAATAGCCGGCGTGCGTAGAAGTAGGCAAGTGTATGTGAAGGCAGACTTTGGTTCTATTTAGCAAGAAAATATAAGAAAAACAGAGGGAAAAGAAGAAAAATTGAGTTTTTCTGACATGCCAAACAGGGGGCCTTGATTGTGTGAAACTGGAGATTGTCCGTTGATTGTGCGTAGTATTGCCACTGATGTGAGGGAGGGCATGTGGCGTGTGTGTCCTACCTTCAGTGAACCAAAGCGTCCAGTCCGTCCGTCCTTGATTGCGGACCGGACGGACGGCAGTGCATGGGTGGATGCCGGGACGGACGGGCATCTCGGCATCCGTCCAGATCACTGCCCGGGACGGATGGGCAGGCCCTGGAGGTTTCTCAGGGGGCAGGATGTGCCAGGTTTCTGCGGGTAATGGCCGGGCCCTGCAGGTAATGACCTGGACCTGCGGATAACCCGGAACATGCCATTGGCTCTGGGACTACGGGGCCCGGGCGTCAACCCTTAGGACAGCCGTCTTTATGAAAGACGGACTCCATGTCCTACCGTCCTCACCCACCCTACCCGGGACGCCCGGGACTACAGCCCGTCAGGGCCCTATAGGGCGCCCCTAAAGGTTGAGAACACTACCTACCTTCCTACATTCAGTATTTAGTTGTCGGCCTACTCTCCTCGAAGAACATATACTGTGTTTGATCAACACTCCTCCTCCACAACACAGTTTTCTCTAGTGGAAAAAAGGAGAGGAAAGGAAAACAGCACAGCGAGTATTCACAGTCATGTGCCCTTCGCTGAGCTTATTTGTTCCTTCTTTCCACGAACTTTTTCCCTATCATCCGGACCCTTTTCCTTGTTTCATCATCTCCTTTTTCTTTTTTCTTTATTACACACTACTACCTTTCTACATCTTCCTTTCCCTCATCACTATGTAATTACACTGATTCCTTTTTTAGCATTATTACTCATTCTCTCTACAGTCAACCTCTACCAAGATAAATGAGCAACCATCACCTTCTCATTCTTCCTCAGTCTTACAGAGCCATGTGGGTGATAAGGCTTCAGCTAACTGGGAGAAGTACGTGCAAATGTTCAAGTACTGGCGGTCACAAAAAGGGCCATATAATTCCCAAGCCTTGCAATGGCTAGCCCGGGTCGAAAAAGGGCCGACCCGGCCCAACCCAAGACCAAGGAACCTTGAGCCCGACCCAGCCCAGCCCAAGGAAGTATAGCCCGGGCTAACCCAACGAGCCCATCGGGCCCCCGCACAGGTGAACAGCCATAAAAGAGATGAATGTAGATCTATTAATACTAGATGAAAATACAGAATTGCCAATGAGAACAGATGGTGCTTGAAATAGGAGATGAACACAACACAGTGAGAAATAGTAGTGATTATTTTCAATAGAAAGAGTAAATTTTATATGAACTGCCAACTTCGGAGGCACTCGGTTGACTCAATCACTAACTTCCCATTAGGAGACTCCGGAGTACCCCATACCCACTAGGAAGGAAGTGTGTTTTTTCTCTTTTTTCGTGATTGGTTGATACCGGCATTTGGTGGTAATAGGCGATCGTGGTCTAATTCCTGATCTTCCTAGTGTTCTGAACCTGGAAGCTCAGACTCGTAGAATCAATGGTGATGAAATTCTGCTTGTAGACTTGGTAATCACAGAATAGTTAGAGGACTTGAGATAAAAC